AGCAGGGAGATCCCTTGCATGCAACACATCCCCACTGGCGATCCCACGCAGGAGAGTTCTTCTGATGTGTATATGCTGAGAATAACTGGTGCTACAACCTTTGTTTATATGCACCCTAATGGTGTTTAATGGGGCAACAATGACTGCCACAAAACCTGATGTGCATTGTCTGATCACAGTGAGAATAGCAGGAAGAAATGTGAACTGGGGTATTGTGGTGAGAGCAGACTTCTTCATCTGTTCCCCTCCAAAGCTGAGTTGGTAGAAATCTGACCTTGTCCACCTAAGGCTGAAGAAAGTGGCCTGCCAGGAAAGAAGCATGAAGCTTCTCCCCATTCTCATTCATTGCTTTCACAAAAGAGGTAGTGGCATTACCTTTCTTACAGATTTCTTGCAGCTTCAAGGCTCTTGCCATTGCTGGGAGAGTCTTATACATACTATTAAGTTGTCCTAAGTAACTAAAATTCAGCCAATCAGTATCTAAAAGTACTACAATACTCTTAGAATTACTACAAAGAGAAGGGAAAAGTAGAAATGGAAAGATCTAAATAACAAAGCTAAAAAAAGAGAAAGAAGAGAGAGGAGAGCAGAGAAGAGAAGAGAAGACCAAATGGTTATCAAATGGCAGTTTGGAGCCAGGTAATCCCCTGCAGAACTGGGAGAGCAACAGCCCTTATTTTCTTCTGCACATAAACCACACCTTGGTTTGCCATGGAAATGTGTAATGCAGCAGGACTGCTGCTATCAAAGAGGGCAATCCTTCTCCTACCCCTGGGGAACACAATTGCCCCAAGTAAAAAGGTTGTCAGGGATGTGTCAGGAGCCCTGGCAATTTGCTGTCTTCCTCCCCTTGCTTGCACTTCTTTTGTGTGCCTGGTTTTCGCTTCTAGTTACTCTATCCAATCACGCTTCTCTTTTCTCACCCCTTTTCTAAGGCATCTCCCACTAAAACTTGCCCTGACATGAGGTCACTCTTCTGGCCACACAGGATACAGAATTGGTCTCATCTTGGTTTAGGGAAGGTTTTTTTTTTATTGCTGCTATTTCTTAGTGCAGAAGAACAATAGAGACTAGTAACTCATTACACTGACCAAAGCTGAACAGGTTAACTTGCTCAGGATTTTGCTTTCTGCTCTGAGAATACTATATCCCCAACAAACGTGCTGATTTGCCTTTTGGTCTCCTTGATGCCTATTTCCATACTGTAGCCTCAGGCTACATCTTCAGGTGTGCTATGAACCAGGGCCCCTAGTACAGGGTTGATGTCCTAAGGTCCCAAGGATTTTATCAAAGACCTTCTGACAGTAGCTGTCCATCTGAGAGAAGGGGAATAGGCTCTTTATCCTTATACTGAGTGACAGCTGGTGAAGGTAGATCTCATAAATAAGTATTAGGCTCTCTTGCCATGACTCTGTCCCCTGGGCTCCCTGACACTCAGGGGAAGCATGCATAGAGTTTGCCTCATCTTTCATTGAAGTACACAGACTCACTGAATAGTCACTCTTACCTTCCTGTTTCTGTCTAGACTTGTCACAATGAGACCTAGTCATGAGACACATGACAACATCTGCAGAAGTGACACCTCATGCCAAACTCTGTGTCTGTGTCATGCAAGAAAGGCTCAGACTTTTTACAAGCCTCCAAGACAGACAAGTGTGCTGGGCATTTCTCCTGACCAGCACAGACAATAGAGAGCACCACAAGCTGGCATTAAATCCCCCCACAGAGGCCACTGCTGGACCTCTTGCCTGGTGTCAGACTCAGCTGTGGGATGATGTGAATGCTGCCAGTCGAGCAGAAGGTACAGAGGAGGTCTTGAAGTGCCACTCACAAGCTTGTTCTTAAGAGCTGGAGCTCAGGAGAACCCATTCATCCTTCTGTTTGGCAAGTATGCAAGTCACAATGTTCTTCGATTTCAAATACTTTGATGTCACCATCCCTATGATGTAGTCCCACACGGGGCTGCATGTCCTGTGTATACTGGGGGACAGTCAGCTGCAGCTCTCCCTTGTTCACATGTCCTGCTGCACAGGAGCTGTAATGATCACTGAATTCAGGCTAGGTGATCTTGGTAGTGGTTGTTCTCTGTGTCTGGTTCAAGACCCCCTGTGTCAGAGCTTGGGTCAAAGCAGCCATTAAAAGCTTGACTTGCTGAACTTAGTCCCTCTGCTTGCCCTCAGGGAGGACCAGCCTCACCAGCAGCTTGAAGAAGTGCATCAGCAGCACCTGCCTGGCCACTGGCTGGGGCCCCCTACGTGTGGTGGAGATGAGGAAGATCATCTCCGCCTCTATGATCTGCTGGCCAACTTTCTAGACCCTGCCTTCGCCCAGCTCTGTGCCAATGCACAACATTTGTTGGATTTCTCCTGTCTTGTAGTTATCTAATTCCTGCCCTGGGGCTGGAAAGGCCTGAGAGTGCTGATGCACGCCCACCCCATTTCCAAGCACGTGTGAACACATTTATGAATGCTCCTTCCACGGGCACTGAAGGAGCTGAGAAAGTCCTTGCAGCAAAATATTGTAGATCTGTAGAAAAAACCCATCCCCGAGCCCTGTTCAGAATGCCATGAGGAAACTTCCATTCTAGTATAGGGTGAAAAGGATCAGTCACAGTTTTCTCTCTGTGTGTGCTATCACCAGTTGGTACTCTTGTAGAGGTCCTCTGAGGTTAAATGCTGACACTTCTGCTCCGACACATTTCTTAATCATGGCCTGATCGTTTCCCGTGGCTTTCTAAAAATCCACTTCAGTTCAGTTGTTATCGGGTCAGCAATATTCACAGTTCTTTCACTGTTGGCAGATTTCTTTACATACTTTATTTAGACACATTGGGAGGTTCCACTTTTTCTTTTTTTTCTTTTAATTACTGGGTACATAAATTGCTGAGAAAACCAGTTGCTTCTGACCATTTTTTTTCAGGTACATAGAAGAAAATGGCAACGTTTTAAAAGTTTATTGTTTTATAGGTCAGCTAAGAGTAACAGTACACAAGGTCCCAAAATGTCCTTTTTTAAACCAAAAATAAGCAGATCACTGCAATTCCCACAGAAACTAGAAAGACTAAGTGTTGTCCCTACCGTGCAGGGCTTGAAGAACAGTGATGACTACAAAAAAACCCCCAACTTTCCCCTCTCTCCTAGTCCTGTATCTGCACAATGTCTATACCTTGCATAAGGTATAATTATAATTATTGCATAATTTGTAATTATGCAAGGAATTAGGAATATTTCCAGAGCAGGTCTGATGCTCAGCGCCTGTTTTCAAGGGTATGACATGTCCCTGTGCAGACTACAACCCTGCTGTTACACAACCCAGCCGGCCGGAGCCCCGCAGCCGGTTTTCCCGGCGGAGCTGAGCCCCTCGCCCTGCCCGCAGAGGGGCGAGGAGCGGGGCCGGGGGAGCCCGGAGCCCGCACGCCCAGGCACGGAGAGGGCTGCTGGGGTGCTTACCTTTGCTGACCCTTCTGACCTTATCATCAGCTCTTTTGAGAGTGGATTTTAAAAACACAACACCAAACGTACTTCAGAAAGCCTTGAGGATAGTATATTGATTTTTGTGGTGGCTTTTTTTTTTTCCATGCCGCAGCAATGTCATTTGAAAAAAAGATACAAACACCATCCACGGCCATGGTACCTGGACAGCGATCCGTACTTTTTATGATGCTGCTTTCCCGACAGCGCTGCGTTCCAGCAGTTCAGAGGCAAATGCAGCGCAGGCTGCGCGCACTCCCGCGCGGTGATGTTCGCGCGAGCCTCGGCAGGGAACAGCACGTCTCAGAGGAGGTAAAACGAGTGGCCCAAGCC